ATCTAGAGCTTGGAGGGAAATTCACGACTACAGATAAGACATCTGGGAGTCCTCAAAGTAGATCAGCAGGTGGTTGAAGCCACAGGTGAGGCTAAAACAGTGCAGCAAGAAAAAAGCCAAGGATGAAACTGGAAGAACACTCACAGGTAGGAGAACAGGAGGAGCCAGTGGCAGAGGAGACAGCTGGAAAAGGAAACACAGGTGGTGGTGATGTCAAGACAGAATTCAGTGAAGAGTGCCGGACACTGCAAAAGATTAATTAGTATGACTGGGAGTGGATACCACATGTGCAATTACAAAAGCTTTTAGCCAAACTGGTTTCACCACTTTAGTGGTGGAAGTGGAGAGCAAGCAGCAAGGGCTAAGAGGAATGCAGGGATGGGGCTGAGGGCAAGCTGGCCTCACAGCTTGTTTTCTTTTTTAAACCAAGCTTGTTTAAAAAAGAAATCAGGGACTTCCCTGGTGGTCCAGTGGTTGAGACTCCATGCTCCCAATGAAGGAGGCACAGGTTCAATCCCTGGTCAGGGAACTAGATCCCACATGCCGCGCAGCACAGCCAAAGAAGACAAATAAATAAGAAATCACCTTGAAGGCTGCATCTGAACCCATACATGCAGAGTGTCAGGCCACACGGTTATGCAAAATTCTCTAGCTGCACTGGGCAGTTCAGGCCCAGAAGCAAACAGAAATGGACAGTGGAGCTGGGGTTGGAAGTGAAGGAACAGGGCCAGTGGAGAGGGGCATAAGAGTACAAGGGACTTTGGACTCTTCTAGACAGAAGAGCTGCCCTTTCTGGGACACCAGTAAAGATGTTTAAAAATCTCAAAAATATTTGGAGGACCCATTTGGAATTTTTAAACAAAAAACCAAAGCCAAGGTTCATCTCTGCATTGTGTAAAAGGGATTTGATAAACAGATAACTAATGTTAACAAATTTAATTTAAAAAGAATAAACTTTTTAAGTACATCAAGGCACCACTGGAACAGGATGCAAAATGATACACACTAATTACTAATTACTCCTCTTTACTCTTCAAGCTGATTCCCCAAAGACTTCTACTTAGCAAATACTTTGAAGAGACTGTTCAGAAAAAGAATAAAGGAGCATTTATGTCTATTCCATTATTCAGACTGGCTGCCATCCTGATTCGATAAAAGGGAGATTTTACTGGGATAGAATAGCACTTGCACATTTTCGAAGCTCTAAGCTGGCTTCTCGCTCTTTTTACACTACAGCAGGAAGGATATCAGTACCCCTATACTTCCAAGGCCAGAAGAGGTGAAGGGGCATGTCCCAGGCCACCCCAGTCTCTTGCCTCCAAGTCCAAGGCTCTCACCTCCACCCATCCTGACGCATGCTACTCCCCGGCGTTCCCCCAGACCTCGCTCCGCCCGTTTTGTCTCTGACCTTGAGACAGCACCGATGCGGCTACTACTTAGCGACACAGGTTGAAGCCTGCACCCCCGTGGCCAGCCTGGTTCTTGGACAAGGCAGCCTTTCCTGTAAAATACTCCTAAGAAGCCCTCAACCACCAGGCCTGAGAGGGTCCCTGTGAGGGTGGGTCCCTGTGATCACCCTCCCAACCACGGCTGCTGTCCCCTCCGGATCCCTAGCTCACTAGGATCACAAGGCTACGTGAACTCACTAGGATCACAAGGCTACGTGGAACTGTTTTTCTGCAATAAAACTCCAGCAGCCAACATTTATTGAGCACCTACTTGTTGCCACAGACTCTGCTAAGAACTTTACATATGTTACCTTAACTTTGTAACAACCCAGCAAAAATAGGTACTCTTATCCCTGTTTTACAGGTGAGGATAACCGATACCTGAGGCTCAGAAAGGCTACGTGACTTGCTCGAGGTCATTCAGCTAGTGGTTGAGGCAGTACTCATAAGTCTGTCAGACTCGAGAATCCACTTTATTTTCACTGTACCACACCGCCCTGGCTCACCACTCTACAAGTGCCTAGAGACCCACACCAGAGTGGAAAAGGAAAAGTGAGGCAAGGCACGAGCCTTTTCATTTTCACTGCCTGGCTCCCAAGTGACTCTGGGGACGCTAATCCCATGGTGTTTCACTCGGCCGATGGCCTCACCAGCCTGGGGCCCTGGGAAGCTGACAGGAGTCAAAGGGCCCCCTGCCAGGCTTGTCCTGGCAGCTGCCCAGCTGACTTGAGCTAACACAGCAACAGGCACAGGAAAGGCTCAAGAGAGAGTGGAAAAGCACCAGACCCTGGGCCGCTGAGGGCAGAGAAGTGATCCCAGCCGTGCTCAGACAGGATAACGCAGCTCTAAAGCCACCACTATCACCAGGCTGGGAAGAGACCCGGGCGGGGGCCGGGAGGGGTGGGTAAAAGCCCCAAGTACATCTATTTACTAATGCGTTTCAGTGAATCGTGACTGCTGGGCCAACCCAAAAGAGGGTCATGTGCCTCCAAGGTGAATCAGCAAGTGTGGAAGAAAACCAGTCCATGCCCTGGTTGGTCCCAGCAAGCCTGGCCCACCTTTGCCCCATCCACAGAAACCCTGCTGCCTGATGACACCTGAGCAGAGGCAAGAAAGCACGCATGATCTCACAGCCCCGCGGTAGCAGCGGACCTCAGCCAGCCCATGGGAAAAGAGCGAGCCAGCTGAGAATACTAACAGACTTGCTGGAGGCAAAAATTCAGCGAGGGCAAGCCCAAGGAAATAAAATTATTTAAAAGGAGCACAAAGTGAGGCTAGAAAAAGGGAGCAACCTGGACTTCCAAAGGTAGTGCTTCTTCCATCAGGCACTGGGAGGACGTACATCAGTGGTGGCAGGGTTATTCTAAAATATCTGAAAACCCAAAAACGTCTTGGTCTGTGGGAAAACTTTTTTTGTGTTATTTCTGTAGGTTTTCTGTCCTGTTATGTTTTGCTTAGGCCGATATTAAACTACATATGTGCAGGATGCCCAAAAGTATTTTGAGGGAACCAGTCCTGGGATTTAATGTTTGCCACAGTTGTTAGACTGCTTAAAAACAAAGCACACCTCTAAGATTTCATTAGAAGGCAAGGGGCAGCTTGACAGGTGACATATTGGCAGCCACTGGGTCAAATTAACCCTATGGGTATGTTAACATGCTTAGAATTTTTAAAAAAATTAATTTTCAACATTTAAAAATCAGAAGTTTCCATACCACACACCTCCCCCCACCAAAAAAAAATCTGAACTTCTGGCATGTTTTAGAGAGGAAAACAACAATCTGGTATCTCTGGGCAAGCAGCACAAACTGGAAGAAGCTGCACAGCCACTGCCCCCTTTAGGCAGGCCTGTGCTTTTCTAGCACCTGGACTGGCCGCTCATTTAAGCCACCTGACTGACCCCTGTAGGCAAGAGAGTTTGCTACTGGTGGTTTAGCCCAGTGAAGGGATCCCAGGCTTGGTCGTCCTCAGGACTGCCACAGGGGGGCAGCACTGGTCTGCCCATGAGGCCTGCGACAGCCTGAGCCTGTAACCAAGCTGAGCTTATTAGCACATCCTTTCAGAACCAGAAACCTCATCCTCACTTCAGCAGCAGACCCTGCTTCCCCACGCTCCCCATCGGATTTATGCCCTGAGAAGCAACAGCAGCTCATCTCAACATTCCCAGCAGGCCTCAGTGACTGAGGGGGAGCCACCGAATCGACTTGCCCTTCCTCCTCTGGCTACCACTTTCCACGTCCCCCCCTCCTCCCACCCCACAGCCGGCATCTCTACCTGTTCAGGAATTCTACCTTCACCCACCTGTTAACACCACTGGGCCTCAGATCCTGAGGTAAGAGGCAGGGCAAACACCCTCCTCCTTTTAAGGCGGGTTCATTCTTCATCAAATGCTCATTACTTGTCTTTGCTCACTCAGGTTAAAGGTCAGTTGACTTCGTGAGGCAACAGGTCGGCTCTCTGCTCTCACCCCTTCCAACCTCACCGACAACATCTTTAGTGGCAGCATTTAGTATAAGCTCCTACTGCCCTTCAGGAAAGACATTTAGTATTATGCATTGAGGCCCTTAAAACCGTTCGTCCCATTTCATCCAAAATGCCATTTACTCTTAGAGGAAAACATAGGCAGAACACTCTATGACATAAATCACAGCAAGATCCTTTTTGACCCACCTCCTAGAGAAATGGAAATAAAAACAAAAATAAACAAATGGGACCTAATGAAACTTCAAAGCTTTTGCACACCAAAGGAAACCATAAACAAGACCAAAAGACAACCCTCAGAATGGGAGAAAATATTTGCAAATGAAGCAACTGACAAAGGATTAATCTCCAAAATGCCATTTACTGTTCCTACCATGTAGTCCAAAAATGCAGGAAAATCCTTATATAAGATACTCTTTGCAGTATTTCTCCTAGTGAACGACCAGAAACAACCCAAATGTCCAGCAACAGGGAAACTGTTAAAAACAAACTATGCTATATTCCCACTTGATGGGCAATTATACAGCTAATGAAAACAATTAGGATTATGAGGACCATGTGATAAGATAGGAAAGTGATTACGATATGAAAACACTATGTAAAAAAAGAATATAAAATTAAATGTACAGTAGTATCTAAAAAAACTAGTCCAAGAATTAGTGAAAGATACCAAAATGTTAATATTTTATCTGTACCAGAGCCCTCAGAATGTGGGTAACCTTTTTTAAACCCCAATTTAAGGTACATATACTACTTTTATAGGGAAAAGTATGTGTGCATGTGTGTGTGAAGTTGGAAAATTTGATAGCAATTGTTAAGCTCCTTGGTCTACTCTTAATGTAGACTTTGAAAGTATATAAGCCTCATGTCATCATGATAAAAAGGCCCTTGGGAACCTGCGCCTCCAGGACTCACCGCCTCCAGGATCCAATGCAGCCACGCTAGTAAAACAAAGCTTCCAGGGCCCCAAAGTCCTTAGTTAAAGGCCAATTTTATCCTACCCGGAGATGCCTGCTTTGCATAGCTCCTAGGAGACCCCAGCACCACCTGGAAGACAGGATTAGATCAAAATGGTTCTCAGACGCCACTTTAATCAAGTTTTGCACTACACAGTGACGGGGTGGGGGGTGAAAGACAATGACTGTTTTCAAGCAAATTCACCTGCCCCAAGGTGAACAGCCTGGGCTCCCAAGAACAGAAAACAGCTTTCCTTCCCAGGGGAATCCCCTTCCTGAGCTGACAGGACAGGATTCCAGACAGAATGCGCACAAAGGACAGAGCAAGCTAGCTAAGGGAGCCAGGGAGATTTCCGAACTCTTCCCAGTGCAAACCAGAACTAGGCATGTAGGTACCCCTCCTAAAGGCATCACCCCAATCCCAGCCACTCCCACCTGAGGCCAAACTGCCTCCCCACAGGGACTGACGGCCAATGTTCACTTCATCACTCTCCTCCCAGTGGTGCACCTAGCAGCGCAGAAGCCTGAGCAGCTGTGGCCACCATCCAGCAGAGGCAGCCTTCAGGCCAGAACCCTCACGGGCCTTCCTCTTCACTGGCCCCTCAGCTACTAGTGTGTCTGCCTGGCCATAGCAGAGCAGCCAGTATGTGTGTGGCTGTGTGGGGCGGGAGGGGCCAGAAGCAGCAATAAAGCAAATCAGATGTGGGTTCTGGTTGCTGGGTCGACATGGTGGCAGGACCAGTCCTGGCCCCCAGAAGGACCCATAGGGCCCTGTGTCCTCCATTAATTCTTCTCCGGGCGGTTTCTGTTCAGGACAGCTTTAGGGGCAAATTCCAGCTTGTCCTTAAGGCTCACGACCTGGGTGTGGTCCTTGCCTAGCAGCTCATCCAGCTTGCGGTCCTCCCGGCGCTCCGAGATGCTCTTCTCCTCCTCCACAGGCTGGAGATCCTTGCCCCGGATGAACCATTCCAGGTGGTAGCCCACAGCCCCAACCACGAAGGCCACGGGAAAGGTGACATAGGGAGCATAGGTACGCACCACGGTCCAAAGCACAGGCCACATGACATCTGCAGAAGAGTAGGAGACCGCATTAGGGAGAAGCAGCACCCCTTCCCACCAAACACGGACAACCCACCAGGGCTCTCCACTCACCAGGCAGCCTGGCACAATTTACTGAGCATCCACCCCATGCAGAGCAATGCAAGAGGGCACCCTGCTTTATGCAACAGTTGGGTCTCCGAAACAATCCAGGAAATTTCAGAAGACTCAATTGTTAGGGAAGGGGGAAAGAATCTCATTTACGTACTATACTCTTTGACAATTATGCAACCACGTATGGCAGCGTTCCCCACGAGAGGACCTCTGAGCCTTACCTAATAAAGCTTCAATCCTACTGTTGACCCCAGGCCCTCCCTGCACAACTTGCCAACATTCTAAGAGCGGGTAAGAGCCTTTCTCTGCTCTACAATATTCCTCCATCAGCAGAGCCAGCCATCCCTTCCCCACCACGCTCACCCCTGTGAGTCTCCTGTCTCCAGGTTAATGAGAAGTAGTTCCTCTGCCCCACATAAAGAATAAGCAACGTATTTAGGCAGCCAAAACCCCAAACCATTACCCAACCACTCTGGATTTTAGATAAAGATAATGGTTTTTTCCTATTCTGAACTTGACTTTTCTAACAAGACAAACCTCTTCCTTACAAATCTGCTTGCCAAACCCCTTTCAAAATACACTCTCTTCAACCAAAGCCATATCCTCGTATTTGCATAAACTCCTAAAAATATCACCAGCCCATTATACATACTCTGGACACACCAGAACTTGAAAATTCTATGTTAAAAAACTACTGTACAAGAAGTGGAAAAACAAAGAAATGGAATGACCCCAGGGCTTCCAGAAATAAAGTAAGGCAACACCAGGATAATGTAAAAACACACAAATTGGGTCACTCTCAGCCATTTAGTCTCAAATGATCATTATTAACAATTATCAAAGACTATTCACAACTATCATAATAGTGATAGCTCCATTTATTGAGCACTTATTACACGCCAGACCTTGGGCTAAGCTCTTTATATATACTATCTCCTTTAATCCGCATGTCCACTCTCTTGATGTAGCTGGCATGACCAGAGGGTTAGGTAACGTGCCCAGAAGTCTCAACTGAAAGATCATTCCTTTTGTGCCCCTGCAGGTATTTCTCCAATCTAGCTATCTCTGGTCTGAACCTCACCAAAGTTAAGATGACTCTCTCCCCTCCCTTTGGTTCCAATTCTCTCTGGAAGAACCCCAGCATTTTGTGGACCCAAGACTATAATGGACCATCACCAAGGAAAAAACTGCAGCAGCTCCAAGACTGCCCTCTGAGTCCCTGTCTTAGCACCAGGCACTATGCTGGACAATTAACACACTAGTCACCATCTGATCTTCACAACACCTCTATGAGGTAGGAATTATTAGCCCAGATTTTTGTTGAAGGCCACAAATGCTCAGGGACATAAGCTTAACTTGCCCAAGATCACCAGAAGTGAGAGAGACATTGACTGGAACCCAGGCCTCTCCAACTTCAACACCTATGCTCCTTCTACTGGAAGGAACACACTGCAAATAGGTGTATGGTTTCTGTCCAATTCCTGGACTTGAGGAGAACTTACTGCAATTTTTTCCCATCAGCTTGGCATTTCACTACCTAGAAGAGCTTCCCTTTTTGCAAACTCTAAGATTACACTCAGAGATTTGTGAAATTACAAGATTTAGGAGCTGTTAAAAGAGGCACCCTTGAAGAATCTCAAACCTAATATTTCATTTTCTTTCCTACCTGTAAGCAAGTTCTCTATAAGTAAACACTTTTCCTAAACAGCAACTCTCCACTCAGATTTCCAATCTGTCTTCAAATATATGAAGCATGAGTCCACAACTAATACTGCTTCTCACATGCAGCCCGAGGTCTCCCTCTGTGGTCGGGTTCACATTCTAATCATTCCCAAATAACTTAATCCTTTCATTTATTCAACATTTATCACCACTTTCTCTGTGTCACACATTGGGCTGGCCTACCCCATGTGTCTGCATTTCTCAAAGCACTTAACCCTCCAAGAGGGAAAGGCCCATGTTTGTGCGTCCCCACTGTGCCCTATTCATCTCCCACCCCTCCCACCACGCCCGGCATTAAGTGCTTAAAAAGTCTGGTGAATGAATGAGAGCTCAAGCAACTCACTTGTGTAAAACCACCGCAGTCATCTAACCACCCGCCCTCGAAAGGCGGCAGGAACACAGCAGGTGCCTTTGCTGATTACAAGAAGCTAGATACTCTAACAAGTCATCTCCAGGGTGTCAAAACGAAAGAGGCAAAAGTGGCAAATATTTCCAGCCCCGCACTGAAGGAGCCTGAGCGTCCGGTGAAGGTCAAACGGTAAAGGTTGCCGGGAAACCTGCCCTTGTGCCGGGGACCTCGGAGGCCCAAGGAGACGCTAAGCCGCAGTCCGAGATTTGAGAACTGCTAACAAGGGCAGAGGAGACCTTACTGGGTGGAAGAATTCATTCTGACCGTTACTGAGCCCGGTCCGGGTATGAGAGCGCAAGGAGATCAGGTCCAAGGGTCTGCCCTTCTCCCTCCTCTAGGTTCCCGGTCCCCTGCCCCTATCCCACCACGCTCACGGCCTCGTCTGGTCTGTCCTCACCCACGTGCCTAAGGCCGAGAAGCCCGGGCTGCAGAATGTCTGCAGGGCGCTCAGACTCCCACGCCGAGCCCGGGGAAGAGAGGGAGCAGTCTAGCCTGGCCAGGGCCGCAGCGGACGCTCGCCATCTCCCTTCCCCTAACTCAGAGGTCAAGGCCACCAGCCGTCGCCACAGCTACGGGCGGCCCAGCAGCCGCTCGGGGGTAGGAACTGCCTGCCGGGACGAGTGCTCACCCGCGCCGCAGCTCACACCCCGCCGTCCGGCCCCAGCCCTCCGCCCGCGATCCGCCTGCGCTGGGGGAGCACGGAAGCCGCCACTCCCAGCGGCCCGCGAGACCTCGCCCCGGACCCCGCCCACCGGCGCCGGCTCCCTCGGAGCGCAGGGATTGGCTGAGCTCCAGAGCCAAAGGCCTGAGGAAGCTAGGGCTCTGCAACGGGCCGCGCTGCGCTGAGGGATACAGCGCCCCCTCCCGGACAGGAGGTTTCCCAGTGACATCACCACGGGCTTTCGCGTGGAGAAAGTGGAAGGTCACGCATTCATGTATTCAACTGATGTTTATTAGGCTTCTTCTAAGACCTTGGTCTGGGCACAGAAAAATAAAAAACATGATCCTTGACCTCAAGAAGGTCTCAGCAGAGTAAAATCTAGAACTCTTAAGAACTCTTCTGGTCTGGGCTAGCTTTCTAGCAGCGTGACCTTGGGAACATTGTCAATCTGCCTGAGCCTCCTTTCCTTCTTATGCATAGAGGTAATAACACCTATTTCACAGGCTGTTGTGAGAGTTGATGAAACAATGTATGCAAAGTGCTGTGCTGGCACATAACAAGCAGGGAAATAAATGGTACTATTGTTAGTATACAAATAATTGAAATATAGTAAAACCTGTCTTACTTGACCCCTTAGGTGCAAGTATTCACTGCCTCCTCTGTGTCCCCACTGCGCCCTGTACAGATGTCTACTTTAACACATATAGAAAAAAAAAACACCAAAGCTTAAGCTCCATAACACCCCCACCTAGCCCTGTCTTTCCATCTTCATTCCACTAGTCTCAGGCAGGCGTACTTATTTACCTTTGGTAACACATACTAAACCCCTCCTATTCCCCCACGCAGACCAAACTGTTTCACACCTCTGTGCCTTTATTTATGCTTTTTCATCTACCTGGAGTGCCCTTCCCACCTTTCTTTACCAAAGTAGCTCTGTCTTGTTTTTCAAGCTCAAGGGACACCTTGGTAGGAAGCCTCCTAGATTGCATTATCAGGGTAGATTCCCTTCCTTTATGATCTCAAAGATCTCAATGCTAAGCTCTGACAATGGAGGTGGAGAAAAAGGAACAGATAAAGAATAAAGAAATGTGTACGAAACCATTATTAGCAGAACGTGTTCACTGAGGGAGGACAAGGGAACAGAATTGCCCAGAATAACTAGCATTCAGTCAGCCAATTAACATGTGCTAGGCATTGGGGATGCAAAGGTGACTGGGACCGTGTTTTCCCCCAAGAGTTGTCTGACTAACAGGGAAGCAGAAGGGTCTACAAAATGTCGAGAGAGTGTGAGAAATGTGATGACAGGAGCATGCACAAGTAGCACAGACAAGGAGCCCCAGGAAGAACCAGGGAAGGCTCCCCAGAGGAACCTGCCCTTGAGCTAAGTCTCAAGTAGTGGCTAGCAGTTCTGTCAGGCAGAACTGAGTGGGGCTGCAGGGCACAGATTTAGGAATCAGAGAGTTGTGGGTTCAAATCCTAACCCTGCTGCCTGCTAATCTCAGAAAAGCTGTTTACACTCATTGTTTTAAAAAAGACAGTAATAGTACCCACCCCCCTTTGGTTGTTCTGTACTAAATCACCTAATGTGTATAAAATGCTTAGCATTTACAGTATATGGCACCTTCTAAGTGCTTGGTAATTGATCACCAGTAAGTTTAGTATTCCTCAAATTTACTCCTCCTTCTGTAATGTCCTATGTCCATTTATGGCATTACTTACTCACCAAGCCAAAAACCTAAGTGACATCTTCAAGGCCTCTTCATCTCTGCATTATTTCCCAGATCCAGTTTATAGCACCTATGCCTCCTGAATGTCTCTCAAATTCACCATCATCTCTTACCTGGACCACCTCGGCAACTCCCTTCAATGGTCTCTCTGCCTTCCATTGCCTCCTCCAGTCCATTTCTATTCTGTTGGCCAAAGAGTCTTTCAAACACTTAAATAAAACCATGGACTCTCCAACTTAAACCCATGGCTCCCTTCCAGCCACATCTCCTTTATTTCCCCTCTACCCGTCCTAGCCTGTCACCTCTCTCCAGTCTCTGCTCTTCCCATTATCCCACACACACATAGCATTCCATGCCTTTGCCTAAGCTGGTCCTTTTGCCTGAAATGAATGTCTTCCCTCCTCATCCCTGACTACAAAACTCTAATTCATCCTGCAAGGCCCAGTTCAAAAGGCTCCTCTTGCAGAAAGGTTTCCTAGACTCGCCGGCTGCTAGAGGCTCCCTCCTCTGGTCTCTTCAGCCCCTCTGGGAGAGCAGGCCTCCCTCTGTACCATAACTTTGTGTTTATGTGCCTTGCTATGGCCAGATGGGAGCAACTCAGGCACAGGGACTGGATCTAATCCTTCACATGTCCATGGAGCCCAGCACAACTACCTGGGCCACAATACCCTAAGGAGACTCCCCACACGCCCCCTACATCAGCCCCACAAGGGGAGATTTTAGACATCACATCTGTAGCAGGATGCCCACACAGTCTTGGATGCTACCCGTCTCTCCGTGTCCATTCCCATATACCTCATGGTCCCGGCAAGCCTGGCCCAGTTTCTGGGAAAACACAGAGACCCATAAAAATCTATATAATGTAGAGGTTAAACTTGGACTCAGCTACTTCCTGGCTTCGTGATTTGGGCTAAGTTGTTGAACCTCTCCAAGCCTTGGTTTTCTCATCTGTAAAATGGGGGTGATAACAACACCTGCTTCATAGGATTGCTCTGAGTATTGTCTAGTTCAAACCTCTCCCAGGTCCCCATTTTCGAGAAAACTGAACCCCAGGATGACAGTCACTCAGCCAGTGCCCCACTTGGCAAATCTGGGGGAAATAGACATATGAACATTTCTAGTTGAAACTCTGAGTCATCCAATTTCAGTATTCCCAAACCTGGCTGCCATCAAAATGATGCAGTGGTTAAGAATCTGCCTGCCAATGCAGGGGACACGGGTTCGAGCCCTGGTCCGGGAAGATCCCACATGCCGTGGAGCAACTAAGCCCATGTGCCACAACTACTAAGCCTGCGCTCTAGAGCCCGCGAGCCACAACTACTGAGCGCATGTGCCTAGAGCCCGTGCTCTGCAACAAGAGAAGCCACCGCAATGAGAAGCCTGTGCACCACAGGGAAGAGTAGCCCCCTCTCACCACAACAAAAGAAAGCCCGCACGCAGCAACGAAAACCCAACACAGCCAAAATAAATAAATAAGCCAAAAAAACTCATCTGAGAGCAAAGACTCTATTCACTAAGTCTTGCACAGGGCCCAGGAATCTGTTTGGGATCAGCTCCAGGCTGATTCACTTTTGGGAATTCGGGTCGCACGGGAGCCCTCTTCACCTCTCAGTGGTCTCAAATGAGTGTGTGTGGGAATATGACCTCTTGCTTTTCAGGTGGTCTTCCAGACCAGCCTGTAAAATATGTTCATGCCACTCTCTTGTTCAAAACCCTTCTGTGGCTCCCCGTGGCCCTCAGGACCCAGGCCGACCTTCCTCAAATTGACCCAAAAGCCCAGCATGATCAAGCCTCTGCATTCCCAATACCTCTTTCTCCTCCAAGCTTCTGCACAGCTGTTCTCTGATCTTGAACATTCTTCCCAGCCCTCGCCCTCCTTCAGTGGCTAATACCTAGTCATCTTTCCAGCACTCACCCTTATAATGTAACTGATTACTTGTCTTTCCCATATGGCTGTTAGCACCATAAGAGCAGAAACTAACTTGTTCAGAGCTATCTTCAGGTGCTGGACAGGGCCAACAGTGGTTCTTGATAAATATTTGCTGAATACATGAATGAGAAGAACTGGCTAGTCCAGTGTGGCCCAGAAGAGCAGCCAACCCTTTTGGAAGGTTCTTCGTCCTGCCTCAGAGTCCACATCAACGCAAAGACTGGAGAGAGGGCTTTGTGGGTAGGAGCTGCCATTCAACTCTTTCTGGGCTCAAAAGGCTGTAGAGCTAAACGCTCAGGATTTACATTAGACAGACTTGGGTCCACCACTCTTAGGCCTGCCTGTGACTTTGGCCAGGGCACTTGACCTCTCCTGGGCTTCAGCTTTCTCATCTGTTGTAAGGATGAGCTACGTTCATGTAAAGCACTCGCATCTTGCCTGACCCTCAGCAAGCATCCAATAAATATTAGCCATCACTACTAGGTTTGGGATGCCACTGAGCTTCCCAGGAAAGTTCTGTTCTCTCTTTTGTTCCCCATCAATGTACCCATGCACAGGAGGCATCAGAAAACATGACAGCACAGAATTGAACAGTTTTCTGGAGCAGAAAGAACAGTGGCCCCTTAGGGAAAAGGAAACCAGTATTTGTCCATATCGAAGAACAGCAGCCCTCCTGTTTATGGAGCACACGCTGTGTGCTTCTCTGGGGGAACCCTGGGGAGCTGGAAGGCAGAAAGGGAACCGGACTAAACTAGGAGGAATTGGAAGACAGGCCTCTTCACCCCACCTGGGCCCCTTCAACCCACCTGGGCCCCTCCAGGAGGGCTCAGGTCCTCTGTCGCCACCCGGCGGGGCCGAATCCCCATTCCCCCAGCTGGCCCAGACAACTCCGCTCTCCCCAGACCAAAAGCCTGGGCTCCGGCCTCTCCTCCCTCCACCCCCTGTCCCAGGCTCGGGCAGAGGTGGCTTCTTCTGGAGAGAGCAGCTGGCTCGAGTGCAGTTCTGCCGTTTTATTTTTCCTGGGATACTCAAGGGGATGTGGGAACAGCCACAGGTGTGGTGAGGGGAAGCCCCCATCTCCCCTCCCCAGCAGCTGGGAAAGGGGAGAGGCCCAGGCGCCCTGGTCCTGGGTTGGTCCAGCCACTGTGGTCCCTGGGCCCGGTGGGCTGAGGGCTGAGGGTAGAGCCCCTGGGAGGGTGGGGCGGGCTCCTAGGCGGGGTTCGGGATTCTTCATAAAAAGCCACGAAGCTTGATTCCCCACGAAGCCCAGCCCCGCGGGGTGGGGGGGACGCAGAGCCCAG